TGTGGAAGTATAAAAGCAAACCTTATTGTTTTAGTCTCTTCTATGGTCAATAGTGTATTTTAATTTTATACAAAAAAGGGAAAAACCAAAAAAAATCTTGGCTTTTTGGCTAATAACCCAATTTTTTTTTTAATCATAGGGGTAAGGAAATATTATTATTGTTTAAAAGTTTATGAAAAGTAAAAAAAGGTACTCTCCGTGAACAACTCTAAAATTTGTTGACCTTGAGAGTGAAGATGTGATTTTATTGTACTAAAAATTTGAAAAAAATCAGCGTGTCCTTGACAATCTTGTAACGAATTAATAAGCTTTTTTTTTTAAAAAAAAAAAGAGGTTAGAAAACAATTTACTATGACAGTGTTTAGAATTATGATAGTGATTATTTCTTTTCATTATGTATATTTGTTTTTAGTATAGTAACAAGTTTTACAAGGCCTGAAGACATTATAATATATAGTAACAAGTTTTACAAGACATTATAATAAAAAATCATGTCTTTTAATATTATAATTGTTAATAAAATTATATGATTATTAATGAAACTATTATATTTTAAATTAAATTGAATAGTTATTATTTAATTTTATCTCAAAAGTAAAAAATATTAAAATTAATTATAAAAATTAAAGAAATTAATTTAAAAATAGAATTAATCTCACTAACATATTAAATATCATATTTTGATATTATAAATATCCATATAATAGTATTAGAAAGTCCAATAGAAAAACCTATTTACTATGACTTTTGCTTAATTTACTCTATAACAAGAACATATATTTATAAACACTTAAGATGAAATATTTCTCTTGGATGTGTGGTAAATATTTTTTTCATTTTTATTTATTTGCAAACTATAAAGACAGCTCTCCTATATTGTTTTTATTGGCATATAAATCTGGGATAGGAAATCCCTAAAGTAATCAAGCTCATATAAATATCAAAATAATTTAAAATTATATATAAAAACTATTTTTAAAAAATAAAAAAATAAAAATAATTAAAAATAATTTTTAAACGCAAAAACAAAAACTTCCTACATCGGGGGAAGGTTCTGATCTGCAGCAATGAGGTTCTGTCAAAACCAAGAGGAAGGGATGCGCGGGTAGTCTTCTCAACGACCAGGGAAGAGAAGCTCTTTGATTTTTTATTGGTGGGTGTATGCATCATGGCTCATCATGATCATCATCATGGACTCCCTTCTTTTACGTGTGCAATCCGCTTTTTGCCGTGTCTGATCCTTTTTTTTTTTTTTTGAAGTCTCAGACTTCAGAGAGGCTTCATATTTGCTATCCTTGAGAGTAACCCAAAAAACCATTATAATTGCTTTGATTTTTCTTTTATATATGAAATGGGGCATTTGCCTGATTGTTAAAAGGGGTTCTCCGCGTGGGATAGGCCATGATGTTCTGATTGCTTGACATTGTTGTTAGGTATTCATGTTTGTTTGCAAGCTTCATTACTGCCATTGTAACCGAGAGTTTGATTAAAGAAAGAGATCGCCACCACGCCCATGAAATGACTTGCACAGTGCCTTTCGGCTCCCACGACTGCTCCGGGAAACATTAAGGATTCTTCTTCAACGGGCCTGAAAATATAACGTAGAGATCAAACCCAGTTCCTAAAGCAATTCCGAGTGTGTGTGTGTATTAGTTATTTAAAAAAGTTTAGTAATACGAGTAACAAGTTTGAATTTGATTTTAGCAGATTCAATTTTAAGAACTCAAAAAAAAGAAATTAATAAAAAATTTAATTTCATTGCATAATTGCATTACATTAGTGATTAAATTACACATCAAGAAACCATCTAGGTGGTGGTCAAGTGGTAAGGATTTGGGATTAAGGGGTTTGCTCCCTCTATGATCTCAGGTTCGAATCCTTGATTACTCATATAATAGCTACTGGAGGCTTATATGGTCGTTAACTTCAGAGCCCGTGGAATTAGTCGTGGTGCACGTAAGCTGGCTCGGACACCCACGTTAATCTAAAAAAATTACACACCAAGGCCCGGGATGAAGTCCCAGAGGCCACATGGGTAGATCAAGAAGGCCTGTGTATTGCATAGCTGAGCGGAGATTCATGTTGAATGATGCTCCCACCCGCTGAACTATTTGGAGCCCAACTTGACTTACGGTGAAACCCTTAAAAGTCCACCAAAGTAAAATGGATTTGACTTTGGGCTTTTAAGCATGATTTAAACGTCCTACCGAGGCCTGCGCTTGATAATCGAAAATTCTACATGATTGAAAACAGCGGATAATAGTTAAATTAGACAGGTGACTCGTTTTTTTGCCGTGGCCCAAGCTGACTTTTTTATTAGATTAAAAAAAAGAATGTTCTAGCACTAGTCGCATGTTTCGAATAAGATAAAAAAAAATCCTGATTTGAGTTCCGAACCTACTAGTTCCAATAAAATTATTTCATTTAATGATATATAAAAACATCAATAACAATAAATTAATCAATTTTTTTAATAAAAAATAATAATAATGACCTATTATTTACCAATAATATATTTAGGGATGATAATAAATATTTATGGGTCAAATTTCTTGATATTTATATGGTACTTATTATTCATAAGATATGTATATATCATATTATATTAAAAAAATAAATATTATACAAATATATTCATATTATATAAATATATATTTCATGTTAGGTTTGGACGGATTTTAAGTAGGATTTGATAATACCTGTACCTTATTCATTATCTATCAATAGCAAAAAAATCCTATTTATTTAGATAGGTTGGTATCCATCAATTTTCGAGTTAAATTAATTTCCATATCCTGCCACGCCGGTGTGAGGACCTAAACTTTGATATTGAACAGTTCCTTTAGCTGTATCAAATGAGTTAAAAATTTAATTTGGACATCACAAATTAATTAATTTCACTGTGTAGTAAAGGGACGGCTCGTTTTATTTCATACATCAAACCAATAAACTTTTATATGAGCAGACATGTTAAAAAGACATAAAAACTTGCATGTTCCTCTCGACTTGACGATAAAGACCTTTTCTGTTTTTTTGAGAATGATAAGAACATATACTTCGTATTCTCTTTAATGATTCGAATCCTCAGACGAGGGAACTCCCGTAATTAAATTTTATAGCAAAAAATAAAAAAAAGATATTAGCATGTATTATAATTTCAAAAGTCAAAACATTATTGAATTCCCCTAATAATAAGAATTTAGTCAAATACAGGTAAAGAAAGAGGTTCTGATACCCCACTCTTATCTCACAACGACAAGACTCAAAAACTCAAGGATATTAGGTGGTGCATATGCAAGCGATACATCTGCTATAATTAGGAGTAGAAAAATAAAGTGCGTGTATATATATATATAAAGAAAAAGGCAGCCATTTACTGGTGCGCAAGGCAATTGCAGGTGGGCTTGGGAGCTGTGATGGTGAAATGCCAGAGGATTCAAGGAAGGGCTTGGGAGCTGTGATGGTGAGATGCCAGAAGATTCAAGAAAGCACTTGGGCTGGGGAAAATCCCATCGCATCACAAGGCTAATTCGGCATTTGGTTTTGACCGCTTGACATCACCTAATGCAAACGAGGTTAGGTGACTTGCAATTTATATTTGTGTGATAACAGTATTAAAAACATCCCAAAATTAAATCCTCCATCTCCCATTACTGGTCAGTACGGAGCTTGGATCGGCCACCCGCCCCACTCTACACCCATTGCCCAGTACATTAACTAGTAGAATATACTACACTACACAGTATGTGTAGAGAGAGAGAGAGAGAGAGAGAGATAGAGAGAGAGAGAGTCAACCCACTATGAAATCTTCACTGCTTGCGCTCAGGATCTGTCTCATCGCACCGCAGCACCTGCTTATGAATAGGAAACAGCTTTACGGCCACAGCTGGAGATCCCACCTCATTGCATTAAATGGGCTGGGCCTGGACCACACTTGAACAAGTATCCAGTTAATGGGTGATAAAAAAAGAAAAGAAAGAGTGCTCCCCCACAACGAGATGCCCTCTCTTTGAATATATTTGTTATATTTCTCTTTCTTGTATGTGACTAGAGCATATAACGCTTTGGATACAAACCACTTCCTCCACTTGCAAAATGCGTACCTCCCACCACTCCAATTCCTCTCCTTTTCTATCCTCTTTTTTTTAAAAAAAAAATAATAATAATTCTTTCCTGGTCAATGTCTTGATGTTGCTTAACCTTTTCGGCCCCCAAAAATACTAGGAAAAAAAGTGTTAGTAGAAAAAGAAAATGCAATAATCAATCACCTCCAATCCTTCTCTATGCTATTGGCTTTGCCCATCATCCACTCCACCTCACACAACTTGCTGGTGATGCTCTCAGCTATAACAAAATACTCCTCCGTCTATGGTTAATCTGAAGTTTAAATTTCACTCTCTCTAACATTGAAGCTATTTGAGAATTCCTAACTCCCAGGCACATAGATTTAATACAAACATATGGTAGAGTGGTTACTCATCCCATCCCTGTACCTAATTTTGTTCTCATCGATCTTTCAAGAAGGAAAAGGATGTCTCCTTCATACCCCCTACATGTTACGCGTACGGTTCTTGGCACTGGCCAGCCTTTTCAGGCTGCGGGAATTATTTCTGAGTTGCCTATTTTAGCAGAGGATAATACTGTGGACAAAACGCCACATCTAAACACATGTACCAGAGTTAACACGTCAGCTTTTTTATTTTTTTACATGATTTTTTTAAGATATTTTTCATTGAAACGCATTAAAATATATTCTCATTCTTTTCTCTTTTTTTGTACTTTTAAAACAATTATCCAACACTATGGGGTGACATTTGTAGCGATAATTTGCAATTCTTCTAAACGATTGCTAAAGTTTGGGCATCGATAATCCAGACAGGTAAAACTTTCGGGATTTTGAATTTTTAAATTACTGACGCCGAATTTAAAGTATAGTACAAAAAAAGGGGGCGCGGGGGTAGTAGCAGAGAAAAAAAAAGGAAAAAAGACCTCCTTGGTACAAAAAAGAAAAAAGAAAAAGTAGCCCTCGATTTCTCCGATATACCCTCTCTATATACAAGAAACCAAGGAGGAAACAAAATTCTTGTGCGCTATCAACCGGCCATAACCAAAGTTAGGTTAGCCTTTAAAATTAAAATAGAGTAAGGATTAAAGCACCCTCATTAATCATTATCCTCCTTTTCTTTGTGGCCGCTACAACGCACAGTTTCCGCCGTTTCCGTCAGTCTCTAACCATTCCCCACTGTTAAACCATTTTTAGATTTAATTTTAGCTCTCAATCATGACATCGTCGCCGTCACCATCCACGCCACCGTCATCCCCGTCTGCACCACCCTCACCATCCTCATCGACCCACCGCTCAACAGGGGCGCACTCCTCTTTATGCCTCAGCTTCCAGTCAAGTGCTTGACAGGCGCGTGAACAATAGTTAACAGCTCCACAAACAGAACACCGTCTAAACTCATGCTTTCTCGTCTCGGAACGCCCGCAACCCGTATGAGAGCACAAACGGAGACCCGACCCCGAAGACCCGCCCCGAATAGCAAACCATTCCGTCATAAAACGACTGGCCGGATGACTCTCAGGAGCTGGAACATTACACCCAAAGTCACTCAATAAAGGGCACCCACTGTGTCCATTCCCAGTAGGGTGACGGTGGTTAGGATGCGCGTGTGGGTTCCACGAGAACCAAGTGCGTGTTGGGAGCCCAGAACGAGGTCTTGATAAAACAGCGGCGAGTTCACGCGCGTTTGCTTGGACGAGGAAACGCCGTCCTTCTGTTACGTTTTGACGGACACCATAACCGTCTTGCAGGCAGTGACCGAGCTCGCGTAGGGCGTCGATGTGGCCAAGAAAGGCAGCGCGTGCACACAGCGCAACGCCGGCACGAAGGTCTTTGTCGCTTTTAGAGCCACCGCTTCCATTGAATTGTATAACAGCAAGGGAATACAGTGCAGGCGCGTATGAGCTAATCGCTGCCTTTGCCATCAGAGAAGCTCCACTCCCTCGGTTTTGTAAACAGTAAAACCGAATCTGCCAAGCAAAAACTTCATTTACTGTCTTTTAAAATAATAAATAATAGCTGCATATGCGTTTTGAGACTCGTATTGTCAGCAATTTAATGGCAATTAGTTACCATGCCAAGAGTGTAACAAGCTTCAACATTTCCAGCGTCGGCGAAGAGTTTGAGGAAACGGTGAGCAGAATCAGACCAATTTTTGGCCTTGACTGCAAATGTTTTCGGCGAAGCTTTGGATAGTACTTGAGAATGAAGGCCCAACCCATTTAGTCTCTTGCACCTGCAGTTTAAAATTAACCAACATGATTAAGCAATAACGCCTTTCTTCGCTCCCGCAAAATTCAATAACAATACCGTTATTGTTCCCGGCCAAATCTCAAGTGTAACAGCCAGAAAAACACAAATATCCAAAAATAGGAAAAGAAAACTGATAGAGAAAGAGAGAAGACAAGAGACGCACGTAAGTAAAACGTTGATGAAATCGGAGGGGCAAGAGGCAGAAGAGCTAAGCTTGCAGAGAATAGAAATGACAAGATCATCGGGTAAAGAATCAAACAAGTCGGTCTCTCCGGTTTTTTGATTTGAGATTAATCGATTCTTTTTCCTGCGAACCAGGTAATCTCCGGCGGCGAAATCAGGCTTTCCTCTCTTATAACTTGTTGTTGCCGTCCTCTTCCCTGCTGCTGTATCACAAGCGTTTACTGCTGCTCCTCTGGGATAAGAAAGCCCTCTCCGTGTTCTCATTTCTCTTCAGTTTTCTTGTCTCTGTGGTTCTGAGAGATAAAGAGGCGGATGAGAGGCCAAATGAGAGCTTATATATAAAAAGAGGGAAGGAAGCGAACCAGAAGCAAAGGGAGCAACAACAACAACAATAACGACAGAAACCGATTTGGTTTGAATAAATAATGATTAATTATTTTACTTAATTAAACAGAGAGTTTGTGCAGGGTTGTGAGTTAATTACAACATTATCCCTATTGTTGTCGTTTTCTCGGTCAAACATCGTTGACCACGGTCCATGCATCTGGAAGGATGGCAAAATGTGTGGGAAGATAGTGAAAAAGAGTTCCACAGTAAACTCGTGCTATTTCCAAAATTTACCATCGTATCGACTGTGAGTGTGGTTGGATGGCCGCACAAGATGGTAATTGTGTTCCACTTTTTAAACATGAATCTGGAAGATTGTTTTACTTGACTTTGTGCTCTCTAATAATAGACTTACCAAAATTTTGGCACCGCAAGATCATCCCTGTGCCCTTCTTCGCTGGAATGTACTATATACGACGGGGTAGTTTTGATTATATTGACATTTCTTTTTTTTTTAAGTTTAGAAATGCACTTGACTGGTATTTTAGATGTCGTTTTTATTTTCTCGACAAAAAGAGAAACTGAGATGTTTAAAATAAAGAGCATTTACATCTAATATTTTTGCTTTTTATTTTTATTCATTGAACCATATATTTTTTTATATGCTCTGTATTTTTTTTTAATTCTAAACCATTAATCAAGTGTGTTTGGTCATTGTAATTGAAACTCCCCACAACGTCTTAAACCCTAAAATAAAAAATACTGACAATTTAGAAATAGTATGCAATAGTAAAAAAGGGAAGACAAAATGACGAGGGAAATATTTCACCAGTTATGAAATAAAACAAAACGCAACATGCACACTGGTAATTAATGTGTTCAAATCAATTTTTCAAATCATACCATAACAATTGATGGTTTATTTGCTAGGGGTTTTTCTAGTTTATTTTGATTCATCCACAAAAAAAAACAAGGTTTATCAAGAAAAATAAAATAAAATTGATGTATTATTCTTTATTTAAGAATAAAATTTCAAAACCCCATTAAAAATTAGAAAAAAATAAATGTGCAAAACAAATCTAAACACATGAGATTTCATATATGTGTGCGTGTATGCTATCTTTAGACTAGATTTAAATGTCAAGCAGTTTGTTTTTGTTTTTAAAAAATATTTTTTAAAAAATATTTTTTATTTGAAATTAATATTTTTTTAATATTTATAAATTATTTGAATGTGTTAATATCAACAACAATTTTTTAAAAATAAAAAAAAATATTATTTTAATATATTTTCTAATAAATGTTTTTTAAAAACTAAGAGTAATTATACTCCCAACACACTTGTATTTCTTCTTTTCAAAAATATTATAAAAAAATTAATTTTTTTATTTTTTTTATTTTATATTAATATTTTAAAAAAATATTAAACAACTCCTGAACCAACCTCTTCAATCTAGTCACAGACAGCCCTTTCCAACAAATAAAAAAAAACCACATGTTTTTTTCATATTTCATCGTCATTAAAAATAATAATAATAATTAAAAAAAACACATACAGTGTGGAAAAGAGAAAGGACGAGAGACAGCATAAAGATGAAACGCAGGCACCTCAAGACAGGTTTGGTATGGTGAGATTGAAATGCATACAAACCCCACGCCATTTTGTTTTTTTAATAGTGAAATGAACCGAAGCATCTGACAGGACACCTCTGTATTTTTTATGTTTTCCTCGGAAAATCCCTATGTAGTATTCGACCATGTATTCTGGGAGCACGGGATCAAGAACATCATGGATATGAACATTATAGCACACATGAATACTAGGTTTAGGAAAATGATTATACCATGTATTTTTTTAATTCAATTTTTAATCTAGTATATTCTCACACTGGAAAAGTACGAATCATTACGGGTGCTTTTTTTCCCTTTTTAAGCCATCGACATTAAAAGATTTACTTCTAATTCAATGTTTCATAATAAAGGTCGATGAACGTAATATTCTTTGGTTATAACAGTGAAAGGCATAATCTTAGCTACTGGCAGGCTGATGAACTACTCAGCCTGTATATAAAATATACAAATTATTAAACTTAATTTGAAAATCAACTCAGGTAAAATTTCAATGCGATTTTTTCAAAAAAAACACTTAGTTCGTGATAAAAGGTAAATTAGTGATATCTCTAAGAACTGAATGGGTATATTTAAAATCATGAAAGTGATGGTAGTTTAAAATATTTTTTTAAAATATATTAAAAATAAAAATTTTCAAATCAAAATTATTAGGTGTGACAGCGCAGAACATGAAATACATAGGCTGATGAATTGATGATAATCCAAAATATCCTCGATTATACAACAACTAAGAAGAAACCGATCTTGTAACATATTCCAAAATGCATGGTGTCTTTACATTAAAAGAAAAAAGGATGAATGACGACGGGGTCTCATAGACGTCAGATTTACCATATTGTAATCAACTTGGGATCTAAATGTACCGTTGTGGCTGTAAAAAACAAATTGTTCGCAAAATCTTCTGCTGGACAGCAGGGCCCGGATGTTAACACCTTTACCATCTTACAATCATTTGATTAGGTTTTCAATGGTTAATACATGTTTACACCTTTTCTTTCAAGCAGGACGTAACATTTTTTTGTAATCACATACGAATTGAACGACAATCTTGGCGTCACGAAACTATTGCAGACGCGAATTCACATCAAGGGTTTGATGAAAGTGATAATTTAACCCATTTTTTAGGTTCAATGGATGACGGTCTCCCTGCAAAATTGCTGCTGTCAGAAGGGTTCATTACTTAATTACTAGATACCCTGATATAAAGTTTGTTTTTCTGTTTTAAAATTTTTTTTCAATAAAATTTATTTTATTTGTTTTTTTCACTGTTTTAGATTTTTTTTATATATATAAATTTATATCATTTCAATGTAAAATAACTTACCATGAATGAATCACGCCAAAAACTTGATAATAATCTGTTGATTTTTTTTTAGAGGATGGCTGGTGAATTTAATAATAAAAATCACTTGAAGACTCCATCTATATAATAAAAAATAAAATTTCAACTTTACTGTGGCAACAGGATGGTATTGATTATTGAGAAGTATGAGTGTAAAACTTCATGGAAATGAAGCTTAAAATAAAATAAAATAAAATTCTTGGATGCCTGGGACTAGTCTCTATCTAACAAGTCTCCATCTATGCTTTTTCGTTTATGCGAAGGGAGTCTCTAACTTGGGCGATAATTTAATCTTCCCCTTGGATTTTCACCTTACATCTAAATTTAAACAAGGAGTAGTAAAAATAATTTTAATAAATATAGCAGTAATTTAAACGCATGTAATATTAAAGAATCACAAAATAACTAAAAATGACATGTGAAGATCATAAAATGAATTTAACATGTCACCGTAAAATTCCTTAATGATTAAAAAGAAACAAAAATTCATATTATATTACGACCAAATTTTAAAGAAAGCTAATAGAAAAGATTTCAATATAGCAATGTGAATGAAGATGTAGCTCATCATCATAAAATGACTCAGCTTTCTTAAAAAAAATTGTTACACGTTAGTGATTTACTAGTAATATCCCACCACGAGATGAACCAGAGCTGCACGGATCCAATTCAGGAGTGGTCATTCGGCAACTCAGAACTCAAGCTAGCACTTTTTATATCCTGCATTCCATGAGCTGCACTTCATTACCTGTTTTGGTAATGTAAATGATTGTGTTATTTTTTAAAATATTTTTTATTTAAAATATATTAAAAAATATTTTTTTTATTGTTAATATTATATTATCAAAACAATTTAAAAATATAAAAAAATATTTTTTCAAAAACATAAAATCAATACACATGTAACTTGACAATTTGATGACCACAACTTCTATAGACGTGTTTAGTGAAATTATGTATATATATAATCCTATAAAAATCCAACCAGAGATCGGAAAGAGGCTATGCTTCTAGTTGTGTGGACCTGTTGTCGCGTTAGGAACGCAAGAACGGCGGCTTCGTATCACGTCGCCGTAAAATTTCAGTCACATAAAAAACATTGACGTGGGTGATATAAGCAGTACTGTGACCCCAGCTTTTCCGGCCTCTTCCATTCCTTCCTGCTCCGGGGAAATGAAGAAATTCGACGATGTTTGCAAAGAAATGTCGCTCGAGTAACGCACCTGTGAACTTGAAATATGTCACAAGCACTCCAAAAAAATATCCTCACTCAGATTTTTAAATGGATTTTGTTAGATTTTTCTTCCGTTCCGTTACTTCTCCTCCCTCCGTCTGTCCTTGCAATCCCAGAAAAAAATATTTATTTTTTCTCCGATTTTGAAATTTTTTTTATTTTCAATTGAATAATTGTTTACTGTTTCACATAACTTGTGATTTTAAAAAAAATTTAGGCTAAAAAAATATTTTTTAATAATGTTTTAATGTGCCAGTATCAAAATACATGAATTGATTTATGAACTTTCATGAAATTATAATATATTTTTAATTATATAAAAATAAAAATAAATAATTATAAAATTACAAATAAATTTTTCTAGATTACGATAATGTCATAAAAAATAAAATAAAATAAATTATACAACTAAATTTTTAATTAATGTAATATCTAAAAATAAAATAAAAAAATAATTAGAAAAAATAAAAAAAACACAATGCGAAGGAGTTTGGTATGTATCCTAATTAATACTAATTAAAAATTAACCACCACGTAAAGTACGGTGGATTTCTTCCGGAGTGGGTATCCAATTGTTTTGAAATTAACTCATTTCTTTTTCTTGAATGTCAAAGGCGTCCAGTGTTAAAAACACGGTATCAAGGAGTTTCGTATTGTGATACATACTACTGTGGAAATAACTGGCAGTCTGGCTCAACGTCTCAACCAAGGTGTCTCCACCTTAAGAGATTTTTTTTTTTTCAAGTTACTCCTCAAGAGTTTTTTTTTTTTTGGTTCCACTCTGGATTAAGTCATGTGTTTTTTTATATTTTAAGAATTTTTTTAAAAATTTAATTTTTATATATTTTTTCAGATTATTTTGATATATTGATA